TTAGATACTAAATAAATTAGAAACCCTGCTGTACGTAGGTATATATTTAAAAGCTATATCATCATCATCATCTCAGTCCGGAAGACGTCCACTGCTGAACATAGGCCTCCCCCAAAGATCTCCACGACGATCGGTCCTGCGCTGCTCGCATCCAATGCCTTCCAGCGATCTTGACCAGATCGGCGGTCCACCTTGCTGGAGGCCTTCCCACGCTGCGTCTTCCAGTCCGTGGTCGCCACTCGAGGACTTTACTGCCCCAACGGCCATCTGTCCTACGAGCTATGTGCCCTGCCCATCGCCACTTCAAAGTCGCAATTCTTCGGGCTATGTCGGTCACTCTGGTTCTTCTGCGGATCTCCTCATTTCTGATTCGATCACGCAGAGTAACTCCGAGCATAGCCCCTCTCCATTGCCCTCTGAGCTTGTACATGGGGCCCATAGTTAGCGACCACGTCTCTGTGCCGTCACTGGCAACACACATTGGTTGTAAACCTTCGAAATTTGGATTTGGAAATTTGGACGAAAAGATATATCGGAGCTTCCGAACGCTGCCCATCCGAGTTGATCTGAAGATTGACTCTTCGAAATTGAATCTACCTAGCTGGATAGTTTGCCCTATAAGTATCGTCGTGATCGACACTTCGAGGTAGAATTATAATATAATGTGCAATACCTGTACTAACACCATCTGAAACAGCTAGAACTCGAGCACCTATTCCCAATGCTGGTGAAGGCTTAACGCTTAATTTCACGTCTGGCATACTATCAGGTGTAGCACCCTGTAAACAAAACCATTGATGGCGATTTTCCAATCAATAAAAGCCGTTCATGTGAAATCTATAACGTTAACACATTTATCCATGTTTATTGATCCCGCTGTTCGTTACTATCGGCATAACTATAAACGAATTACCTGTTTTAATTGGTATTATTAATACAAGGATGTTAAAAAAAAAAAGTAAGAAAAAGACAATTGTAAAATCGTAAAAGTATTTTGTATTACGTATTTTATATGGGAATAACTATTTCTTATAACAGAAAACGTTGTCGTGGATCCATATACAAAAAATTTAAAAAAATTAAAATGAATTGATTATATAAATTATCAATCATAATCAACATTCCTGCATTAATTATCGATTAAATTGGTCATTATTGTAAAATTTAATGTAATTATTAAATTTTACAGCCTGTCAATTTAATCTTCTAGTTTAAAACACTGATTATAGACACTGGATGACCCGGTGAAACTGTTCATATGAAGTAGTAGTACTGAAGTATACCTAATTGTCACTTAGCTATGCCTAATCAAGAATTCTTACCGGTTTACAATATCCTCTGTATTCGCCGGATGCAGGGACAACCATGACACATTTTGGTAGATTATTAGTAGTCAAGTAATCGTTCCAATCTTGATATACCCTAGCATCATGATCTATGAATATTCTACAGCTTTTCTCTAAAAAGTACAAAAAAAATTACTAACATATATACATAAGTACAAATTGTTGTACCTATAATAAATTTGTTAAATTTAAATTAAATTGCGATTATATCTACACTCATTGTACCAGAGGATTTTTATTTGTTTTAGTGTTTTGCGAATAGAGTGTCTCTAGTTCCAAAAAAGTACTTTCCTGTTTCATCATTTGTCTAAAAAGTACTATATTCTATTTTAGCTACTCCAAACTTAAATTACTTGGTAATAATGGAATAGCCATTCGCTAAATAAATAATAATAATATAATAAATAATGGACTGATATAATTTTTTTTATTTTATGAAAACATTTTTATATTTTTAACTTTGCACTCGAAGTATCTTGTTGCCTATTAGGTTTGTCTAATTTTTTCAGTCGTATCGTATCAAAATACAGTCTCACCAATTTCAGCCGCCAAGCAGCTTAATTGTAATAATATGTTTCGATTATAGGCTGCAATTATGCATTGACATAGCATCTTAGTCCTCTGGAACGGCAATGTATGTGCGGTGTTACGGGTGTCACATAATAACATGATGTCCGTAGTTCTGTCCATATATATAGATGACGGTTACCGCTTACCATCTGGTGGACAGTCAGCATGTTTGCCATTCCAGTTACATTAAAAAATAAGTTATTATAAGCAACTTTATATATTGCAAATGTTACGTACCTACTAAGTTCAAAGTAACAGAAGTTCTATAGTCAGAATTCTTTAAAAGAACAGAAGTTCTATAGTAACACTGTACAAATTCAAGTTAAAATCTAACGATATTATTTCAGCAATAACTTACGATTTGTTTTCGTAGAAACGCATTTTCTCAGGGAAAATACGTGAAAAATTAATTTATTTACACCTTCTTTTTTTTTCGTATGTAAATTAACCCAATAACCATCTGGTGTAATTTTATAAAATGGGATCTCTTCACATGGTATAAGGCAGACTACTCGCAGTGTAGATATTATAATGTCGTCACCGTTATGCGAATATTTTGCTGAAAAAAAATGGAAAATTCTATTATTCAAATACAGCTCTAAATTACGGCACTTTGCTTATTTTGCTGTTTCTTTTATCAACTATCTGACCCAAATTCGAAGTAAGTAAATTCTTAACTGTAGTTATTAAAGTACAAAACAGAATTATGTACGGATAAACTATGTATGTATGCATCTACATAGATGCATACACAATTTTAGAGCCTTGTAATGAATTAAAAGCAAATAATAATAAATAAGTTATACATTGTTCACAAATCTTGTTAAAAACAGTCATTATTGCTTCTTCGTCTCTCAATTCGTATCCTTGCAGTTCTAGATTATCGGTGTCCTTTGCTAAATCGCCCGATTTTGTTGGAGGTCCACATAAAGCTATAGCAACTTTCTGCAGGAGGTATTTTCTTTGCTTTTTCTCATACCTGTAATGCGTAGAAAATTAAATTCATAAGACAAATCAGTATATGGGTAATTCCCGACGTTACATAACTTCCGTCCAATATGAGGCGGAAAATTAATTTATAGGGTGCTAATAAATTATATACTTATTAATTATAACTATATTACTTTCTATAGGGCATAGGATTACATACATTTTAATAATGTTATAATTTTGCATAACTATTAAAAATATCCTCAAAAAATTCAAACATTCCGCGTTTTGTGTATAATACAGCTGATGAGACTTCAGACACAGTTTGCTTAGGATTATTTTTATCTTTTCGATAAAATAATGCTACCGAAACTAGAAAATTACCTTATTAAAGTATTAATTTATTTTAATGCCTACATATATGTGTGTACTACTACATAAATAACAATAGGGATCTTGATACCAAATTACATGAATCTTAACAGAAACAATATGATGTTTGCCGAGTTCTTAGCTTGTTATTATAAGCCGATTCCCTTGGATAATTGTCGTAGTTAATTGAATTCGTCATTTCATAATGAATAAGAAAGTTAGCTCATGCTAACTTTCTTCATCCCGCGACTTTCCAGTATAGTACTTGCCAGCCTATACTGTTAGCGTAGCCGGATGTACGATGCTCTTAACATCCACAAAAATATTCTTGGTGGTATACTACTACCTACCTTCTACTCGAACGAACACATAGTATAAGGTCATTCGCCACTAGATAGAAACATGTAGAAATTAGCGTTGCAGGGAGTCACAGTATATTTAATAATATCTCTGGACAATTCACAAAATGCTATAACAAAATCATACATATGAATGCAAATACCGTGCGACGAATCTAACCCGCTATTATAGGAAGTAAAGCGGTGTGCTAAACCGCTAGACCACCGAGTCCGTTAATCAGCTGACATATTAATGATAAAGATATGTATTAATTACTTCTTTCGTAAAGGGATCGAGTTAAGGAGATACTTACAATTCCCAATCGGCATCACCCACAGCTTCATAATATTGCTGTTGTATTTCAACGGCTGATAATGGCGGAGGTTGCGGTTCTGCCATCTTGTTGGAACCTGTAGGAAAATAATCAATTAAGACACTGTACCATACCAAATTATATAGTGAACATTACACTATACTTTTGCTTTTGTTTACATAATGTTTTTAAATACTTAAAAACATTAACATACTTCAGTATTTGCGTTAAAAGTATTGCTCTTAGACCATAGCTCTATATTTAAGAAAGTAGGTATTATACATTTGAAATTTGGAACTGTTTAGATACTATAATGATGACAGTAAGCTCTACATGAGTATTACCTACCTACCTACTATATAAAAATACTATCCGTCCATTTCACGATACCAAGCTAGGTTTTGTTTTCGAACTGTTTATTTCTTGTAAGTAGTTTAGCTTTTGCTTTATTTCTCTTCAGAGTAATTCTCCTATCGTTATCTACACTAATCACCTAAAGTGAAAGAGTTAAGAAAATACAATTCTGAATTAGAAGGGTTTTTAGTATTATGAAAATTCTGAAAGTAATTCGCAGTAGTCAAGATATAAAAGATCTACAAGCACACCTTGTTAACTTCGAGTCTTATTGCAATAATAACAAATTAGATCTCAATGTATCGAAATGTTTTTACATGTCATTTACTCGATGTCATCGAACATTAAACATGGGCTATACTTTAAAAAATCAGAATATAGCACAAATATCGGAATTTAGAGACCTCGGTGTGATTCACGACAGCAAGCTCTTATTTGATAAACATGTAAATTATATTGTTAGCAGGGCCTCTAAGGCTCTTGGGTTTATCATACGTAGATCAATAAACTTTAACAACATTAAAACCTTAAAAGTATTGTATTGCGCATATGTTCGAAGTCACTTAGAGTACGCATCCCAAATATGGAATCCGCACTAGAGTGGTTTATAAATCCCGTATAGAAGCCATCCAGAAAATATTTCTTGCGTACTTGTATTTTAAATGAAAACGACGCTCTGTAGATTACTATGACAGATGTAGAAAGTGTCGCTTTCTACACCTGTATATGAGACGCAATATTAACGATATATCTGTTATCTTAAGTGAATATTGCGGAAGAATTGATTGCTCGGAGTGCTATCAAAAATAACTAATACCCTAAGACTTAGACAAAGAGCCATATTAAGTGTCCCTATAGTCAGGACCAGATACAGAGAGAACACTTTCGTTTTACGAGCATGTAAATCCTTTAACCAAGTACCACATGATATTGACCTGTTTGTTCCAGCACTGCCTCAGTTAGCAAACTAATATGTAACCAATTTTAACGGTACATAGCCGTTTTTTATTTGTGTGTTCTGTGGATACATCGCTACTTGTGGGTATGTTAGTCTATTTACTTGTACTGTATAACTAGAACTGAAAAACTGTCACGTGATTACTTCGATTTCTTAAAATTGGATAATGAAAAATTTAATCTAAAAATACTATTGGCGAAGATTAATTGGCATAAGATAATTTGATATGACAAGTAATATGGAAAATTACACCGTTAATCTTCTTAATAAAATAAATAAATAAATATATGTATAAATTTCATTAGTGTTTGTTAAGTCTGTAAATAATTTGAATAATTGAATAATGAATAAATTGAAAATAAACCTTTATATTGGATAAAGTTGTTTATAAAAAGTAAATTAGTAAATAATATTAGTAGTTCTTTATTTAAGGCGATATAATTAGTAATAATACTAAATATATCGCCTTAAATAAAGAAAATTGTATTGTGTATAGGGTGGACGTAGTAAAGATACTTACTGTAAAATATTGTTATACAACCTAGATGCAATATCTAGGTTGTTGTTATTTAAGGCGATATATTTAGTATAATATGGATAGGATTTATGAATTTAAATACTACTTGTTTGTTTTGTAGTTCTATTAAAATTCTTTAGTTCCTTGTATAATCATAGATATGAGAATAATAAAACGTAACGCAATAAATAGAGCTATAAGTAATGACAAAAATGCAGTATCCGTACGTACTTGTAACTTAAGGGGTCTTCCTATGTGATGGGTTGAAAAAATCGTTTTTTTTTTTTTCATAAATTGCTCCCTTAACATGTCTAGAATACGGTAGTAAAGCGATTTTAGAAAATTCGAAGTCGTTTTAAAGATACAGCAGGTAAAAGAAAGAGCGGTTCGGAGCGGTGAGTTGGCAGTTAGAGACCGGGCCTATTGTGTACCGTCGGCTTTATACCTGGCCTCCCTTTTATTAATATATTTGTTTATACAAGTTTAGACACGTTTCTACAGACTTAAACAGAAATTTCTATTGTTATAATATTTTACCGAAGTTATTTTAGTCTATCCAAGAAAGTTATCCAAGAAATTACAAAATTCTACGGATTAGCAATTCAACGCCATCCAGATTCGCTTGAAGATATGAGAAAAGAAGTTTGGGCAACGTACTATCACAAATGTTCTTCTGATGAAAACCCTCAGCATCAATTTTGTCCAGAAGGCGAAGACAGTTGGTGTAAATGGCATAAGGCTGAAGCTAATAATGAACTGGACCAATTTCATCACGATAAACCACCTCTAATTCCGCAAGTCCAAGAAGCTATCAAACCGGTTTTCGAAGATTTATCGAAAGAATTATTAATTCGTTGTTTAGGAGCAGAGACACAAAACAATAACGATCTTTGTATTCTTTGATTTGGACTTTCGCTCCTAAACATTCATTCTGGTCCCAAAGTTGTTGAAATTGCTAGCTACTTAGCAGTTATTATCTTTAATGAAGGTTTTCAAGGTATTTTAAAAGTTATGTCGATTATGGGATGCCTGATTTGGTCGTGAAGCCCAAGCGTATATGTTGAGAAACGGGATGAAAAGCGAATCTTACGCTCTGAGCGGCGCGTAAGTGATGTCGTTAAACAAGCCAGGATTGACTCAAGAGCTGAACAATCTGCTTTAAAAGAGTTTCACGAGGAAGAGGAAGGAATACTCTATGGACCAGGCATCGCCGATTAAGAGTAAGTTGATATTTTAATAGTTTTTAACGGACTTGAAACTTTAAACGCGTTTTTCTCAAAACTGTGTTTTTCAAACTTTCCTCCATTGTATCTCAGAAACGGCTGGACCGAATTACTTGAAATTTACAGGGCACACTCAATATATGTAAACGCATGGAATGAACTATTATCAATCGAAAATTTTCAAAACTTCGATTTTTTTATAAAAAAAAAAACAAAAAAAAAAAAAAAAACGCCTAATTTGCAACTTTTATTTCAAATGTCTATCAAAAATCCAATTTTTTTTATATTCATTTGATTATAGGTCATTCCGTGCTTTTAAGCCTACAAATTAAAACGCCGTTTTTTTTTTTTTCAGATAAGCCGATCAGCCGGAATCGTGGAGGAAGTGGGAGCTCTTTTTTTTCGAGGCGGGGGTGTTCAGAGCGCTGTAACTCTAGTTTGACTGAATATTTTTAGCTGAAATTTTATATTTATACTGTCCAAATATGTGTTAATAAATGATAAAAAACTTGAAGCTCTAAATATTTACTGGTCGTAGAAAAAAAATCCTAAAATATCCTTTAAGGGGGTCTTCCTATGTAAATATAAAATATAAAATTTCAGCTAAAAATATTCAGTCAAACTAGAGTTACAGTGCTCTGAACACTCCCGCCTCGAAAAAAAGAGCTCCCACTTCCTCCACGATTCCGGCTGATCGGCTTATCTGAAAAAAAAAAAAAAAAACTGATGTAAACACAATAGTATCATTTCGGTGGGTAAAACGGTTTTCCACTAAACTTTCTTTTTTTACTACGACCAGGATGAACATCTCCACTCGTACTTCCTTTCCGTCCACTCATTATGAAAAAAAATAATTTGTAGCTGTTGCTCTCTTCGAAGTTCAACCAAGACTAAAATAACTTCGGTAAAATATTATAACAATAGAAATTTCTGTTTAAGTCTGTAGAAACGTGTCTAAACTTGTATAAACAAATATATTAATAAAAGGGAGGCCAGGTATAAAGCCGACGGTACACAATAGGCCCGGTCTCTAACTGCCAACTCACCGCTCCGAACCGCTCTTTCTTTTACCTGCTGTATCTTTAAAACGACTTCGAATTTTCTAAAATCGCTTTACTACCGTATTCTAGACATGTTAAGGGAGCAATTTATGAAAAAAAAAATCGATTTTTTCAACCCATCACATAGGAAGACCCCCTTAAGTAACTAATAGTATTCCTTACAACAGTATTGTTAAGTTACTAAATAATTTTGACAGAGTTCTATCGGATTTAGGCCGATTATTATATTTGTTTTTTAGGCCGACACTCTTTATTTTTACTACTAATTGTTACATTTTTACGTCCATCGTTATTATTAATATGAAGGAACTAGGTAGGTTACCCACAGTAATTAAGTATATATAGTATAATACTACAATATACTATATTATTAGAGTAACAGGTTAGATAACTGTGATTAGTACGTACAAAAACTATTGTCAAAATACTGTACACGAGTTACAAAGTAACTATGGAGTAACTAAGTACAAGAGTACCCAAGTGTTAGGTACATTATTTGATTGAAATAAAACATTAAAACAAGGAATGTATTCTTTATTAGGAATACATTTTTCTTTTAATGTTTTATTTCACTAATAAAGTTGTCGTAGCTTTGTATTCTAAGCAACGACAACTTCTTTATATGCGTAATCGTTACTTTGAACTTAGTAGGTACGTAACATTTGCAACAGCTCTAATAACCAGAGGCAACGGGCCAAATATTAGTCATTCACGTTAAGTCACACTTATTTATAGCCATACAATTATTCAGCATCGTGATCTGACTGAATGCGAATTTCACATTACAAAGTACTTCGCAACTATTATATGTTTAAAATATTTGAAATTAAAAGTAAAATGGAATCGTTTTGGTGTTTGTCTGTCCGTCCATTTGTCGCAGTGAGTCGCAGATCTAATTTTGAATTTGCAATACCATTGATTTAATATTTGGAATTAAAATCGATATTGTAATATTCCTTTAATTTATTCAAATAAGATTTTTATAATGCGTAGTTTTCGACTTAAGATAAAAATATAAAAACAATATAATAATAAGAGATACCTACCCCAATTCCTGAAGTGAATAATCGCTTACCTTTATCACAGACAAGGTAACATTACATATTTTATTAAGGTTAATATAAAACTTGCCGGAAAATAGCAATAATTCTAACTACTATTTTACGTATGTATTACCCAATATACACAAAGAAAAAAAAATAATGCGGTCTGAACTTTCGACAAAAAGTACTAATCACATTTTGTTAGTATGCATAATAAAGCAATTTTAAATCGTAATAATCGTATTATATTATCGATGAAATGTATGATTTTAATTGATTATTAATATTAATCTTTAGTGATAGCTTTTCACGGTTTTATTTGGCTACTGACTCCAAAAAGACTACATAAATAAATAACTTACAAGGTCAAAATCAATTTTAGTATGTTATTCTAAATTGAAACAGACTAATGTTATGATTTGTATAGAATTTTAACATCGCAAACTATATAAAAATATACTAGTAGGGTATAGACAATTTTAACACATGGCGCAGGCCGCCGCGCCACTGCAACTATTTATACATTTTCCTCTATGGCTACTTTTAAACATGTTTTATTCACGACATGCTACACACAAAACATACCTAGTTTGTATACTATAATTTCTTATATACATGTAGTATACGTTCAGGGTTGCCAATCAAAAGTTTTTTTACCTATAAAAGCAAAACGTTTCGTGTCTATATATTCAGACTGGTACGTTTGTAATAACATGTCATTTATATTTGTGTAAATAGAACGATCAATACGTTGATGGTACAGCTGATGCTAATTGGTAACCGTTGTCTATGTACATGGACAACATTACGGACATTTTTTTAACATTGTGTCGCACGTAATACCATTGATGGGTTCGGAAGGATGCCAATACCTATTATTGTGTAATTTTAGAATAAAATTCAATCAAGTTTAGGGTTTAATGAGCAATATATAAAGCAATATATAAAAAATAAAGATTATTAAATACAAAATTCTATAACAAAAATAATGCCCTTGCATGCAAAACGAAACATCACTTAACACAAAATATACAGTACCAGTATGAGAATAATTATGGTTGGCAACCCTGCTAAAGATTATTTACATTTACTAGTGACACACTTTTTTAATATTTTATCGGTATATTATAATTCACTATGACATCACCAAAATGATATGATGAATGATAAATAACATAATTAATTAAAGATTACCATGATCCTAATAATCAATAATGAAACTGTACTAAATTAATTTAATATTTATAATTAAAATACAGTCGTGACAACTCACCGAGTAAATGCGGCGTAGTACGAAAACAAACTGCGATTGGCTGTTGTAGAATGTATCTATACTATAGACAGTATTTCAGAATGTGTAATTATATGGCGGGGACTCACCAAGCATAACCACAAGATGTTGCCAGGTGACAAATAAAATTATTCACCAATGTATTCTTGTATTTCAATTCAGGGTTGCCAACCTTAAAATCTTTTGCTTCATATCATTTTTAACTAATAATATATATAATTTATTTTGTGACATTCTAGAGAACGATAAATTAATCGTAAATAGATAAATGGTTTTTATTAACTGTATTTGTTTTTAGTTGTCCTTCCATAGTGTATTTATTTACATATCTTGTAAATACGAGTTAGGGACTATTCGAAAATAATGTCATATTTTAAAATAGTTTTAAATAGGAGATTATCAAATTAACGACTACTATCACAGATAACATAATATTACATACTCTTATCAAGTTTACTAGTATAAAATAACTAAGCGAGGGGTCCAAAATAAGAACAAGTTATTGATGGTTTCTTGTAAGATTTATAGATAGGTAAATACATTTTTGTATTTACAGTTGAATATAATAATCCATTAAATTGTGTTCTAGTGCTTTAAATAAAAAATCTACTAGATACTCTATTTACGTTGTCTGTGGTTAACTGTTCTCATCTCATTGTCGTTGTTGGTTGTCCTCTCTTGAGTAGTATATTCTTTGGTTGTCCTGTATCCAAATAACAATTATACGAGTAAATGCTGGGAGTACATAATTAATAAATGATGTAGAAAAGCACTCTACACCCTTAACATTTTTTTTTATGGATTATAATGGAATGGTGCACGTGCCTGCGTTAACGGTTTACGCTGGCGAGGCCGAGTGGAGAATGACAAGATGAGCACAACTTTTGCCCATCGTGAAAATATCAAAGAATTTATTTCTAGGAGAAACCCTGTGGTGATAACCTGACATGTTACATTGCTAGCAATAAGATCATTAGTCCACATTACTAGCAATCCCTTTCTCGCCTACCTTTATCATTTACAACAGCCATTTTATTATTTTTTAATATATGTATATATAACTCATTTATTTACCTGAAAGCCTCAGTGATCTATAGCACGCCGCCTTTTAATGGTAACGGGTTCAATCCTTCGCAAACGTAAGTACGATTCTTTGTGTCGGTCTGGGTGTTTTCTATAAATATTATAGATGCACTTAAAATACAACAAAAATGTATCTAAGTATTTATATCCATTGTCTAATGTCCCTGCATAAGTTTTGCTTAGCTTGGAACCATATGGCGTGGATTGAAATTCCAGTTATTATTATTAAAATATTTCAGATATACACATGTTTCTTTTCTCAATAGAAAAGAAACAACGGACATTATGGATCGGGACAATTCCCGATCCATAAGTCGTTACTTTCGATAAACCACTTCTATATATTTTTATACGACTACAGAAAGTATCTAGTATATATACTAGGGATCCACCTATTATAAATTATAATAGCCGTTATTTTTATTTCCATACTTCGATGCCTTGACGATTGTTGGTAATGAACGGGGTGGGGTTTTTAATGGATATTACAGCGACGTGTGAGCCCACATTCTTTACCCGTGTTTTATAATAGTCTATGCTCCTAAAGTGTTTAAAAAAAAGAATTAATTATTATTCGCATTTCATTGTCTGATACTGCACTAAATAGATACCATTGTATAGAAAGACATTAAATACTTTCTATGTAGCTATCATAAAGAGATGAGTAAGTTAAAGATCAACAAAGAATAATTACAGTTTATTTTAGTGTCAAGTTTGAATTACCAAATATACTATATGTGGATTTACAATAAGAAAATGAAATAGTTTAGATAAATAAGGCACAGTATTTTAACTATCACAGCAGTATTTATATATATATGGAACAATGGCTAGTGCTTACATATCAGGAAAGTTTTGTGTTCTTAATACTAATTGTGTTCGATTCAATATCCAATAAAAATGAAACTAATTGTAAAGTAAAATAACTAACCCAACATAACATACAAAAGAGTAATAATATAATCATATTCTTAGGAATGTAAGTTATTATAGAATATTTCTGATATATGAAGATCTACTTCATATAAGTACATTACGACGCCAGTAACGCTTTTCATGTGTTGCTAATTCTATTAAAAATAAAAATCGAAATAATCTTACAATATTTCTAACTGCACATGTAACAAAATGAGATTATCAATTGGCAACAAGAAGTACCTAAGTTCTTCCCGTAATAAATATTATAAATTATAATAAATATTACTGCTTCATACACATGGTTTTGGTTGGTATTTTTATATCTATATCATTTCCATAATATGAGAATTGTAAATAAAAAAATATATAATAAATAAGTTTTTATATAGATATTCTAATGCATTGCATAGTCAAACAATGCAACAACTATAATATTTGCATACTTATATCTTAAATTAAAAGAATATGATAAAAATAAGGACTACCAAAAAATAATAATCATTTTGAGAGATTATATTAGCAGATTCAACTGACGCGTACATAATTATAGACAATGACACTATGAAGCTCATAAAAGCGATCTGCTTCAAGCTAAATTACAAATACTAAACTAGATATGATAGTCTCTATGACGTAATATAATTTATACATATATACGCATTTGAAAATACTTTTATATATTTTTACAAAACAGGGGTATATATTAATATATAAATTCTAAATCAACAATAATAATACATTATCAATTAACAAGAAACTCTTTTAACAGTTCTTTTTCACTGATTGTAGGTTTATAGTTTACTTATAACATGCCATTTAAAAAATATATATCACATAAGAGGATTAAAAGACGAAGTATAACAGTCTGAATTCCATCTGGAACATAAATTAAACATAACAACATTCTCTAAGGAGCACATCGTGTATAACAAAAATTATGAAGCTTGTTTACTTCTAATATTTTTTTTATTGTACAAAATATTCACACAATGTTATGTACAAAAATGACTAGTAGAATATGTTTAAGAATTTATCTTCGTGAACTCAATGAAAGATCAATTTAAAAGGTACTATATTTTTTTCTTATTGTTATACTCTTCTATAAGGCACGGCTTGTGTCTTCATTAATATTTATAAAAAATAAAAATATTTAAAGGTATATAAATTTCAGTAAAATTGATATGTATTATTTTTCTTATGTTTATACATATGTATCTTCGTTTTGTGGTAATATCTCAATATCATTCTGTAATATTAAATTATCTACGATTAATTACGATGTGACTACATCTTGTAAAGAATATTTTTAACCAAGTTGTCTATGAATAGTGAAAAATTTCTGAATCACAATAAATTGTGTGTATTACATAAAATTTTATTTTAAGATAATTTTTTCACAAAAGCAACTTAATAAGCTAACATATTATACTTCAAATATGCTTTGTGTTGTTCAATTCATTGTAGACATATGTGTATATCTATAGATATATGTGTATATCTTCTAATTGATTACATAAGGCCATAGTCTAAATTACGTGCCTTCTAATCAACTACTCTCTAATCAATAAGATTAAGGTTTAAATTGTTGTTTAATATTAACAGAAAACAATAATTACTTACATAAATTTTTAAAATATCAAAGCTCATACTGCACCTTAGATCTTTAATGTCCGTTAATTTGTGTTTGCAAGGTAATGATTGAATCAATACATCAAGCGAACCTTACACCTTCACAAATGGAACAAATTATTTGATTCTTACTGGGGTAAATCTGACTTATTTTATCAATTTCTTCATCAATCCACTCCATAAGACGGTTCTTCAGGAACAGAATAGTGTCTTGGCGTACAACTCCCTCCTGGAAAAACTGTTTTAATACAATACAGATTCCATTATCAGTTTCTTGACAAACATCTCCTAGAGGCCTCTCATGCTTCATATAGTTGAAGACAAATTTTACTACTTGAACGATTAGGTCTTCCTCTGGGCTAAGCAATCGTAATTTTGCTATTTCTTCTGGTAGTAGTTTAGACAGCATATTGAATGTGACAGTCATCAAATTCGCGTAAACATCTTGGCTAAGATTTTCTAGAAGCAACGCAATATTTTCTGCACCAGACGCGCTAACCCGTACTAATAATGTGCCGATACGTAATACTTCGCCAGGATGTATGCCCACCATTATGTTACTCTCTTCTTCGCCATTAATGCGTGGTCCAATAGCAGTTGTGGAAGTTACGATCCGTGTGGGTACATTACCAGAATCGACAGTTGCTGGACCTAATGTGGTAAATAATTGGGTTCTCTCTTCTTTAGCAATGTTAGCCAATTGCGAAGGATGGAATTTGTGTTGAGAATTTATATTGACGTTGCCATCAGCTGTCATTGAAATTCTTAGTTTGTGTTCATTCACATCTTTATTTATTCTCAATACATCTGCGAAATATTGATCTTTGTCTACAATGTTCTTTATTCCTCTAATGACTTCAGTGTTTCCTTGAACATTGCCTTGAGTTCTTCTAGATTCAGCACTCAGCTTGTCGAATATTCTCCTGTAATATGATACACAGTGGTGGTCATATAATTAGAAACACTTCTTAGGAATTAAGAAAGTATAGCTTAAACGTACAAATTATCATAATAAAATATACACATTCAATAATTAATAATCATGCAATAATATAGCCACTTAAATTAAAAACTCATTAAATGGATAAAATATAAAACATATTTTACTTTCAATTATAAAATAAGTCTTAAACATGTAGGAGTTTTTTTACTGTTACTTGCCACTTGGACACCTAATTAGAAACATTTTAAAAAAACATCCATAACTCGTTCTTTTTTTGAAATTGATAAATAATATTTCTTTCTTAACTTTTTCTATTATTTTGGTGGCAATTCAAAATTTTATCTGAATTGTATTTTGTTCAAAATGGGCAAAAATAAAAATTGTGACGCGTCAACTAGGCAAATAATTGTAAATTCACATGTAGATCATAAATGGGCGTACAGAAGAATAGCTAAGCATTTACATTGTTATATTAATAAAGTTTTTAATGCAATTGATCTATAGAAAACACATAGAAATGATGAAACAGTTGAAAATGGTCTTAGAAAGGTTAGGTTAAGAAAATCTCTCCGAGAGAGGATAAGCTAATCGTTCGTGTTGCTAAAAAAGACCCATTTAAAGGCTCCAACCAGATTAAAAATGAAGTTTTTTGTCTGATGACCCGAGAAACATCTCGTCAAGACTGATACGCCAAAGATTAGTGGAAGCTAAATTGTTTGGATGAACCTCTCGAAAGGTACCGCTTCTTACCAAGCAACACCGAGAGAAGCAATTATTATTTGCTGAAGAATATAGTAATTGGACAGTACGAGAAAGGAAAAAAGTGTTATTTTCAGATGAAACAAAAATAAATATGGTAAATTCCGATGAAACCGCTATGTTAGACGTTCTTTAAATAATGCTTTTAATAATATATACACAAGGAGTATGGTCAAGCACGGTGGCGCTAACATTATAGTTTGGGGATGTTTTTCCGGATTTGGAGTTGATACCATTTGGAAGATTGAAGTTGCAATGAATCAATGTCAGTACAAATATATGTTAGACCACAGAATGATTCTCAACTCGGACTATCGTTGCCTGTAAACTAGATCTTTCAGGATGACAATGACCCTAAAACACTGTCAATAGCGCCAAATATTTTCTTAGCAAACCGCATACATCCGTTTTAGACTGGCCAAAAATAGAAAATCTCTGGTATATTGTTAAAAATACAGTCTTAAATAAACGTAACACCAGTCAAAACGAACTATATGAAGCATTTGTTGAAGCATGGAATTCTTTCCCTCTATAGAAAAATGTATGAAATAGATTGAATCTATGCCATGTCGTTGCAGTGCTGTTATTAAAAATAAGGATATGCCACTAAATATTAATTATAGCTATTGGTAGGCTGTGGGTAGTAGCTATCTCGTAAATAATAATACAAATTACTAATACTTAAAAAATATAGTTTTTTATACTTTTTTGTTGTTGTTTCTAATTAGTTGACCATTATTGCTCATACCTTAGAACTGATTTAAATCGTTGCCGGTATTGTAATATTGAAACTACACCCAAGTTAAGGGAATTTATATAGTTTTTATAATAAATCATAAATTGTTGAATATATTGTCCTATTTATTGTTTAATTTCAAAATAAAACGTATTGATTACCATACCTGTGTCTGTTACTCCGTAGATTGGCACGATAATTATTTATAGTAGTGGCCTGAGCCTCCTCGATAATGCTCTGAGCAGTGCGATTGGACATAACAGCGTTACAGAAGAACAAGGTGGCTGCCGTGAATTGGAACAATTCTAATTTTGTTGGTTTCTCGCCGTGTATTTGATACTAAAAATAGTATAAATAATATTCATTATATAATTATAAATCCATTACCTAGTAATAAACTGACGAACTTTTCATAGATAGATAGTATATATATATCTTTGTCATTCATATAATGTAATAAAAATGTAATAAGGCGAAAGGCTGAAGGAATTTGGATGAAATTAAGTAGATCAACATTCAGAATATATGAAGAGAATTTTAAATGTTAAAAAAGATATCCAAAAGAGAATTATTAATTTAATCGTCGTCTACTATTATATTAATTAACTAGCTGTTACTCCAGACTTAAACCGAGTGGAATTCTTCTAAATAAATATTCTAAAATAAAAGTAGCTTAAGTTACTCCCTATTCTATATTCTGTCTGCGAGTGCATGTCCCGCCAAAATCGGTCTAGCCGTTTCGAAATTAGCAATAACAAACAGACAAAAATCATTAAATTATTTTTTTGATAAAGTACCGTATATGCATCTAAAACTCAGAAAAATGAGTAATGCAATATTTAAAATAATTAATGTACGAATTATTTCATTTCTGCTCAAGTTTTAATTTTTAATTTTACTCAATTATTTCGGAAATCTTAACCACACGAATATTTAAGTTTTGTACTTGTCCAAAACTAGTTACAAAACCAGAAGATGAAATCTTGAACAAATAAGTGATTGTAATTTTGATTGGAAGGGAGTAGCATCGGGAATTAATGAAATCCTCGCTAGCAAACTACTATTTCAAACATTCTCACATTTCACGCGGTTTCCCCTGAAAACCATCATAGTAATTTCTTGTTCAATTCGCCCGATGGGTTAATTGAACAAGAAATTCAACATTACATATATATAACACTCACATTCTATCTATCCTATTCCTATTTTATCCTTCATTGGCGGCTCGCAAGCGTACCGTTAACGCCAGTTGCATTATTCTATTAATCCATAAAAATGTACACAATACCTTTGAAATTATATGCACAAGACTGTTGACGACTCCAGCACCGCCAGTAACCAAGTTTGCATGTCGAAGAACTTCCACAGACACCGCAAGAGCTTGTCCCGTCTAAAATTAAAGATGTGCACAAAAAATTTAACTTATACAATACAAATTAAGCCAATACTATAACCTGCAAAGTTTATTCAGTGATAGATAAAATATAAAATAGAATCCGAGTGTGCAATAAAATACCTAAAAGACTAAACCTTATTGATGACACTATACAGTTTAAATTAACTTTGAAAATATTTATTAGAAGATAACTATCATTATAATATAAATGAATTTCTAGATGACGAAGATTAATTATTTATGAAATCGTTGAATAATATGTTCTTTTTTCCTTCAATCATAGTTGCAGAAGGCAGTGAAACATGTTATTCAGTCTTAGATCTTTGTTATTTGTACTGCACAAATAATTTCAATTTAAAAGTTTGTTATATATGTACCTTAGTGAGATTAGTCCCGGCTGCAGCGGAGCGAGACAGCATATTTGAAGCTGCACCGGCGGCAAGACCCACGCTTGACGCTGCGATATTCAGCCAGCTACCGCGAGCTTCTGCGTCCGTCGGGCTGATTGTCTGCAAATTGATTGTATATAGGTTCAAAGATTATCCTGCGGAATAACGGTAAGGTATGAGTAGAATAAAATTAATAACATTCAGATATCAAACAATCACCTGTTCATGGACACTTCTATCTCTCAGATGCAGAGACGAGCGCATTAGGCCGTACACTCCGGTAGCAACTGACGCCACAGCAGCGCCTGCTAGCACTGCGGGACCCACCGGGGTAAACGCTGCTACGCCCAGAACACCGAGAGCGCCTATTGACGCGACAGTACTGGCAGTGTCCGCTGAACTAAGCACTCGTGCCTTTATACCAAGTGTAGGCGATGGTACGACCGTCAATCTCACAGCGAATGCTTTTTCTTCCTGTAGTAGTAGTTGGACAATTTTAAAACTACTGATCACTACCAGATTAAATTTGATAAAAGTTTAATGAATTTATCATGACTTGACAAAATTAATTTTATAAAACATCAGTTTCTGTTTCGGGCGAACATTTATTTCATTAAATTTAGTTTTGAAGTACTTTTCTTGTTGGAACAATAATTAAATTACAATTAAATAAGGAAAATCAGAACCATTTAACTTTCTACTAAAACAGCATGCTTTTATTATACATTTGTATGCTGGCCAAACTCACTTAAACAGATATGAATAAAATTTACACACAGATACACAATTCTGGATATATACAATAGTATTTATAATATTGTATTAAATTGGTTGGCTGGTAGTTGGTTTATAATTACTAAATAAAGTAAATATTACTTACCTCTATAATGGTCCCATTATATTCACCATTTTCAGGCACAATAAGTACACATTTAGGTTGTGTATTGTTCATTATATAAGATTCCCAATCATAATATACTCTTCCATTATCATCTATATAAACTTTGCAACACTTAGCTGTAATATTGTAAAATAATATTATTGTATTTATTAAAACTACTTCAAACAACACTAATTACTGCACTTAAAGGTTTACTAGTTAGCCACAATTGAAAAATTAATTCCTACATTAATTACTTACGTAATTCTATACGAATCTATGGGCACTAACAAGTTTCTAAAATATTTAGAATGAAAGTAAAGTCATTCTCTCTAAATTCTTTCATAAAATTATTTATACATATATTTTGGCTAGATCCAATTACTTGTAGTCATAAGGTCTTAAAAAGATAAAGTATACTGTCCTGTTTCTTATCATGCAGTTGCAGAAACCTATTTACTAATATTTTGTTATATTTGCCCATGTGATATACCTTTCTAATAGGTGAGGAACTACGGGACTCCTTTATTTCAAAACAAATAAACAGACTCCTTTACATTATCAATACTTACCACCAACAGTGGTAGGAATACATTTCCTTACTCTAAACACAGGTGTACACCACATATCGATATCAGTCCGCTGATGCAGATCAAGCCAATAATTGGACGGCTCAAATTCATAGAACTTTATAGGTTTCGGTTTCGCACATACTACCAGTAATACTGACAGTAGAATGTCTTCATTATTTTGTGAATATTTACCTGAAATTAAATATAGTATATCACATATATGTAGATAGATAAGAACTTGCATACTATTTTTTGTAATATCCTGTATATTACAAAAAATAGTATGCAAGTTCTTATCTATCTACATATAACAGTATGATATATCAATCTAATAATATATGAGTATTACTTGACTACTTTGCCTCTTACCTCATAATAAATAAAAATACTTGAGTGAAAAAGACAAAATAATTTAATAGGTTTATTAATTTTTTGACAAATTACTTTATGAATTAGCAGTGTTGACTATTGACTAGTAAAATAAAACATCACAAAAAGGTCACAGAATAAATTAAGGTAATTGGTAACACTATTATTAACATAATAAGTATACTTACTCTGTTCAGACACTTTCTGAAATATTTTCATAACTTGCTCTTTTTGTCTTGATGTGTATCCCTCCAGATGTGCAAATTGATTACTGGGTAGTGCCGCCAATTCTCCCTCGCTGCTTGGTCCTCCAAATAAAGCAAAAGCAATATTTTGTAACAAGTAGTTTCTGTTACTTTTCTCATAACTGTAAAAGTAAAAACATACATATATACAACACATTACATTTACTATATTAAGTAGTATTAAGCAATTACATATCCCTTAATTCTATTTACTTATTACTGTAGACTCTTACTTATAAAGAGATGGAAGAGGGAAAATTTTATTCTTATTCCATCAGGTGGTTTTACACAAATCCTTAACACAGAATGTCAGACAGTTTTTGCAGCATCACTAGATAAGAATTTATTGTATACAAAGATATATACATACATTGATCATATAAAAGAAAATATGGAAAACACTCACTGGACCCAATCACAATCAGGCAGATTTTCATAGTACTCTTGTTGAATTTGTACTGGAGACATGCGGGGTATAGCATCTACAATTTCCTCACACATATTGACATCTGGGGCAAAGGCCATTTGTGGAGTTAAAAGTAAGCCACTCTGTTGTATCTCTGAATTACTTTGATTCATTATCTGAAAATTATTATAAAAATTCATTATTAATTTTACAATATTCTTCCTATGAGTATACATTACTTTATTTTATATATGTCTATTTAAAATGTTGAACAGTTTTGCATTTACACATTTGAAATTGAAATCTTTGTAATCTTATAATAAATTATCAGCATTAAATTGTAAGAAATATTTTTTTAATGTAACATTAAAAAACATATCTTACAAAAACATCTTCAGTACTACTGAAGATGTAAATAGGTTTTTATTATTATTATAGGTTACTAAGGCATTTTATTGATCCCTTATAGTGTCTGCCAGATCATTATTTGATGAAAGCTGATTTTAAAGGCCAATTTATACAAATCAGAATGTTTATTAAAGATATTTTTGTATAGATAAATTAATGGAATTTGGAACATAAAGTACCATCATTCTAATAATTTAAGCCCACATCTAATACTATGCACTGTGCAAGAATGCAAACAATTTGGTAGCATAATAACTAAGTTTACAATCAGTAACTTGGGACAGTTATTGCACAGAACTTGACTTTCATGCTATCTCTGTTCACCAGTACGCCAAACTGTGGATGAGTCAAGATTCATAATCAAATTATAAACAAGGATCTATTTATATATGATGACTTAATAAAACTGTCACTTCAGATACATGTAGGTATAATCAATTAGACTATTACTGATAACAAGGTATTCACTGCTAATAATGTAGTGTGTTATTTCTAAAGCATTGTTATTACATTTATGCTTATAGACAATGGTTTTTATCTTAATTCAAAGTTTTATTTTTTCTTATAGACCTATCATGTTATAATTAAACATTATAAATTAATATGTAAGTAACCAAATTTCACCTTATTATCACATGTGATAATTCTGGGGTTGAGGGTTTTTAATAGATGATTATAGGATGGTGCACATGCCTGCACTAATGAAGTCAAGATGGTCAGCTGGTTGCAGCAACTTCAGCAGTAATTGATCACAATGGTTTCCAAAGTGGACATGTGGAGATCAATCTAATACATTTAGTAACATGCACATTTGTCCAAATGAGAAGCTAAATGCAGAAAATAGAATCCGACAAATCATATATTTCTAGAAACATAGCCACTAGTCTTATTACAAACTATCCTCTCCCCCAAGATGGTTGCTAGCTGTAAGAATTATTGGCCATTGCAAGAAAGATGTTACAGATATTAATCCCTGGAAAATTGGGCATGATGATAAAATAAGGTCACTCAGTAGACCTTATTTTATTATTATATTTCAGCTCTCCTTAGTAACTTGCCTAAATATTATCATCAGTACTGACAGGATTTCTAATAAGTAATGTACATAAGACATACTAAATACTAAAAAAGGAGAGTTACGAAAGACTAAGAAACATGATCTAAAGAAGCCTTATCCAGACTATATTATCAAAGGAATTTGTCGTGAATAATATATTTAATTAGACAGGTATTTGATAAGAAACATGGCCAAATGTAAGACGGCAAATGTGATTAAATTAAAGTGAAGCATTGTATTTAGAACAAATTCCAAAGTAAATATTAGTTGCCATTAATTGATATTTACTTATAAGCAGTTCTAGATGCAAAATTGCTATCATTTTTTGGTACAACAACATGTTAGCAGACATCAATTTCGGATAATTATTAAATATTTTAGACAGCAGTAAGAATAATTAAACTTACTTTCAAGATATGATGTAATATTTTATTTAATAAGTTTCATAACAAACATTGTACTATTGTTTGTTGACTTAAATAAATAAATAAAATATAGACTTACTTTTAAATAATAGTGTATATAGTAGATCGGATATTCCTTTGTAAATATATATTGTTTTAAAAAAATATGCTCAATAATATTTGTTTCAGTAATTATTTTGTCTATATAATTCACAGTCACAAATAAAACCTAAGACGTAATTGTCGTGAAGCCATTAAATATAAGAAGAAGATTTTAGTTACATTTTATCTGTCAAATAGTCGTGTACAATTTTTAGTTTATTAAAGTCTAATAATGGGTAAATCTAGTTTTAATTAATAATTCAATACTATATTCATATCAATTTAATAAACTAAAAATTACTTATAATCTATAATGGATAAGTATCTAAGACCCGAAAGATTCGATGCAGATCCGTCAGCAAATATTGATCAATCTCCGCTATGGATACATTGGAAACAAACTTTTGAGAATTTTATTAGTGCTATAAATACTAAGGATAATCCTATTACTCCAGAGCAGCAATACCAAGTACTCGTCAATTACTTATCGCCGATTCTTTATGCACATATCAAAGAATGTAACAACTACACTACAGCGATTCTTAAATTAAATCAATTATTTACAAAACCTGTAAACGAAATCTATTCAAGACATCGTCTTATGAAGCGATATCAGCAATCCGGTGAGTCAGTTCATCAATATATACAAGCTCTTAAACTATTGTCGAAAGAATGTAACTTCCATAAAGTTACAGCAGAACAGAATGAAAGTGAATACATAAGAGACGCTTTCATAGGCGGACTGGTGTCACCTGTAATACGTCAAAGACTGTTAGAAAATAGTACTTTAACCCTAGATGCGGCCTTCCAGCAAGCTCAATCACTGGAGTTAGCAGAAATTCATAATCAGAATTATCTACGTGACACTAATCCTGTAATAAATAATACAAATAACTGTTCTAATATTCCAGTTTTAAAGGATTCTATGTCTGCTGACAATAAGAATACTGATGTCACCGTTGCTGCAACACCAAATTATAGAAATACGTTTGAGTCTTGTTACTTTTGTGGAGAAAAAAGACATCCACGAAGATTCTGTCCAGCAGCCAGTTCAACGTGTCTTTCATGTGGTAAGAGGGGTCATTTTGCTAAAGTCTGTCGAAATAAATCTCAACGCAACGCAGCTACCTCCAACGAAAATCAGTCAATCGAAACACTCTCCTGCATACTATCTGCTGCAGATTTAAGTAAAGCGACTGTTCCTATTATTATCAATAACAAAATTATGGCTAGAGCACTAATAGATACAGGCAGTACAGCTAGTTTTATTGACAAACGACTGGTTAACCACTATGATTTAATTGAAACACCATATCACCAAAAGATAACAATGGCCAAGTCAAACCTTATATCACATGTAAAAAGCAGATGTGCATTAACTATAGAAATACAAAAACAAAAGGTGGAAGTCAATCTTATGGTGATGGAAGGATTATGTTCTGATGTTATTCTCGGTCATGATATGTTAAGTGAACATAAATCATTAGAAATGCAATTTGGTGGTTTTAAACCCTCGCTTCAACTATGTACTCTTATAGAAGCCAAAATAAAACCTGTTAGCTTATTCAGTAATTTACTACCTTTCGAGAAACCTATTGCGATTCGATCTAGGAAACAGTCAGAGATGGATCAAAAATTTATAGATGAAGAGATACAAAAGTTATTAAAAGATAAAATAATTGAACCTAGTCAGTCTCCATGGCGAGCACAAGTCCTTGTTACTAGTAGTGAACACCATAAAAAACGTATGGTTATAGATTATTCACAAACAATAAATAGATTTACTTTATTAGATGCATATCCACTCCCTTCTATTGAAGATGTTATAGCTAAGGTATCTAAACATAAAATATTCAGTAAAATAGACCTTAAAAGCGCGTATCATCAAGTACCTATATTGGAAAGCGAAAAATCATATACTGCCTTCGAAGCAGGAGGAAATTTATATCAGTTTCGACGAATTCCGTTTGGTGTCACCAATGGAGTGGCCGCATTTCAACGTGCAATTAATAATATCATAAAATCAGAGCAATTAGAAGGAGTTTATGCTTATCTCGATGATATCACGATTTGTGGGATAAATCAGACTGATCACGATGAAAAACTTAAAAAATTTGAAGAAATTTCTACAAAATATAATCTTACATTAAACGTGACAAAAAGTGAATTTTCAAAGACTACTATAAATCTTCTGGGATACAACATATGTAACGGAGTGATTAAACCTGATCCGGAACGTTTACGCCCTCTCCTAGAACTACCAATTCCTACTGATTCTGTTTCTTTGCGACGAGCACTAGGTATGTTTGCGCACTATGCTAAATGGATTCCTAAATTCTCATACAAAATACAACCATTTGTCAATCATAATACATTTCCGCTTACGGAGGACGCTATAAAAGCATTTGAAGATCTTAAAATAGAGATAGCTAAATCTACAGTAGCTGCTATTGAAAGCGGCATACAAATGACTGTAGAAACTGACGCTTCAGATTACGCTATTGCAGCTACGTTATCTCAAGAAGGTCGGCCAGTAGCTTTCTTTTCAAGAACACTTTCTGCTACCGAAAGGGGTCACCCTGCTATTGAAAAGGAGGCCTCGGCAATTGTAGAAAGTTTGAGAAAATGGAGACAATTACTAATAGGACGAACATTCAAACTGATTACAGATCAACGTTCTATATCATTCATGTTTAACCAGCAACATACATCAAAGATCAAAAATGAGAAGATACAGCGTTGGCGTCTTGAATTAAGTAGTTACAACTTTGACATCATATATCGACCGGGAAGAGAAAATGTCGTGGCCGACGCATTGTCACGAGCAAATACTGTCATAGCTTCGACATCGAGAAATTCATTAATGGATTTACATAACAGTCTTTGTCACCCGGGTATTACACGGATGGTACATTGGGTAAGAACTAAAAATTTGCCCTTTTCTGTTGAAGAAATCAAACGCATAAATACATTATGTCCCGTATGTGCTGAAATTAAACCTAGATTCATAAAATCTTCTGGGACTTTAATAAAGGCTACTACACCATTTGAGCGAATTTCAATGGACTTTAAGGGGCCTCTTCCAAGTAGAACTCAAAATAAGTATATTCTAACTGTAGTAGACGAATATTCTCGTTTCCCATTTGCCTTTCCATGTCCAGATTTAACAGCTGAAACCGTTAAAAGAAAATTAACTCAATTATTTGCAATCTTTGGAGTACCCACCTTTGTGCATTCTGATCGAGGAACATCCTTTGTCTCATCAGAATTAAAGGAATTTTTATGTAGCTTAGGAGTAGCTACAAGTTATTCATCACCTTATAATCCTCAAGGAAATGGCCAAACAGAGCGTTATAATGGGATTATTTGGAAAACTATTCAACTATCACTTATGTCTCTTAAGCTACCTATAAGTGCTTGGGAGTCAGTTATTACTCAGACATTACATTGCATTCGTTCATTATTATGCACCAGTACTGGGTGCACACCCCACGAGAGAATGTTTTCTCATCCACGAAGGTCATCCAATGGCCAATCAATGCCAACATGGCTAACGGAAGGAAGTACAGTGTTCATGAAAAATCTTGTGAGGAAGAGTAAGTACGATCCGTTTGTAGAAGAAGTAGAGGTACTTAATGTAAACCCACATTATTCTCAAGTGCGTTTGCAGAATGGTCGAGAAACTACAATTTCAAATAGGTACTTGGCTCCAGCTAATCCTCCTTTGTTAAATGAACCTGTAAGAGAACAGAACCCGAACGCAGAAACTGAATCATTTAATACTGATCAATCTACTGCTGACCAATTTCTAACAGACCAATCTCCCGCAGAAGAATCTCCTACTAATCAATCTCTTACAGATCAATTTCCTGCACTTCCATCCCCTGCTGAGGCAAATATATCTTCACGTCGTTCCACCAGGCTACGTCGCCCACCTAATCGGTTCCAAGATTATCAAACAGATTTCTAAGGCACGGGTGAATGTCGTGAAGCCATTAAATATAAGAAGAAGATTTTAGTTACATTTTATCTGTCAAATAGTCGTGTACAATTTTTAGTTTATTAAAGCCTAATAATGGGTAAATCTAGTTTTAATTAATAATTCAATACTATATTCATATCAATTTAATAAACTAAAAATTACTTATAATCTATAATGGATAAGTATCTAAGACCCGAAAGATTCGATGCAGATCCGTCAGCAAATATTGATCAATCTCCGCTATGGATACATTGGAAACAAACTTTTGAGAATTTTATTAGTGCTATAAATACTAAGGATAATCCTATTACTCCAGAGCAGCAATACCAAGTACTCGTCAATTACTTATCGCCGATTCTTTATGCACATATCAAAGAATGTAACAACTACACTACAGCGATTCTTAAATTAAATCAATTATTTACAAAACCTGTAAACGAAATCTATTCAAGACATCGTCTTATGAAGCGATATCAGCAATCCGGTGAGTCAGTTCATCAATATATACAAGCTCTTAAACTATTGTCGAAAGAATGTAACTTCCATAAAGTTACAGCAGAACAGAATGAAAGTGAATACATAAGAGACGCTTTCATAGGCGGACTGGTGTCACCTGTAATACGTCAAAGACTGTTAGAAAATAGTACTTTAACCCTAGATGCGGCCTTCCAGCAAGCTCAATCACTGGAGTTAGCAGAAATTCATAATCAGAATTATCTACGTGACACTAATCCTGTAATAAATAATACAAATAACTGTTCTAATATTCCAGTTTTAAAGGATTCTATGTCTGCTGACAATAAGAATACTGATGTCACCGTTGCTGCAACACCAAATTATAGAAATACGTTTGAGTCTTGTTACTTTTGTGGAAAAAAAAGACATCCACGAAGATTCTGTCCAGCAGCCAGTTCAACGTGTCTTTCATGTGGTAAGAGGGGTCATTTTGCTAAAGTCTGTCGAAATAAATCTCAACGCAACGCAGCTACCTCCAACGAAAATCAGTCAATCGAAACACTCTCCTGCATACTATCTGCTGCAGATTTAAGTAAAGCGACTGTTCCTATTATTATCAATAACAAAATTATGGCTAGAGCACTAATAGATACAGGCAGTACAGCTAGTTTTATTGACAAACGACTGGTTAACCACTATGATTTAATTGAAACACCATATCACCAAAAGATAACAATGGCCAAGTCAAACCTTATATCACATGTAAAAAGCAGATGTGCATTAACTATAGAAATACAAAAACAAAAGGTGGAAGTCAATCTTATGGTGATGGAAGGATTATGTTCTGATGTTATTCTCGGTCATGATATGTTAAGTGAACATAAATCATTAGAAATGCAATTTGGTGGTTTTAAACCCTCGCTTCAACTATGTACTCTTATAGAAGCCAAAAATAAAACCTGTTAGCTTATTCAGTAATTTACTACCTTTCGAGAAACCTATTGCGATTCGATCTAGGAAACAGTCAGAGATGGATCAAAAATTTATAGATGAAGAGATACAAAAGTTATTAAAAGATAAAATAATTGAACCTAGTCAGTCTCCATGGCGAGCACAAGTCCTTGTTACTAGTAGTGAACACCATAAAAAACGTATGGTTATAGATTATTCACAAACAATAAATAGATTTACTTTATTAGATGCATATCCACTCCCTTCTATTGAAGATGTTATAGCTAAGGTATCTAAACATAAAATATTCAGTAAAATAGACCTTAAAAGCGCGTATCATCAAGTACCTATATTGGAAAGCGAAAAATCATATACTGCCTTCGAAGCAGGAGGAAATTTATATCAGTTTCGACGAATTCCGTTTGGTGTCACCAATGGAGTGGCCGCATTTCAACGTGCAATTAATAATATCATAAAATCAGAGCAATTAGAAGGAGTTTATGCTTATCTCGATGATATCACGATTTGTGGGATAAATCAGACTGATCACGATGAAAAACTTAAAAAATTTGAAGAAATTTCTACAAAATATAATCTTACATTAAACGTGACAAAAAGTGAATTTTCAAAGACTACTATAAATCTTCTGGGATACAACATATGTAACGGAGTGATTAAACCTGATCCGGAACGTTTACGCCCTCTCCTAGAACTACCAATTCCTACTGATTCTGTTTCTTTGCGACGAGCACTAGGTATGTTTGCGCACTATGCTAAATGGATTCCTAAATTCTCATACAAAATACAACCATTTGTCAATCATAATACATTTCCGCTTACGGAGGACGCTATAAAAGCATTTGAAGATCTTAAAATAGAGATAGCTAAATCTACAGTAGCTGCTATTGAAAGCGGCATACAAATGACTGTAGAAACTGACGCTTCAGATTACGCTATTGCAGCTACGTTATCTCAAGAAGGTCGGCCAGTAGCTTTCTTTTCAAGAACACTTTCTGCTACCGAAAGGGGTCACCCTGCTATTGAAAAGGAGGCCTCGGCAATTGTAGAAAGTTTGAGAAAATGGAGACAATTACTAATAGGACGAACATTCAAACTGATTACAGATCAACGTTCTATATCATTCATGTTTAACCAGCAACATACATCAAAGATCAAAAATGAGAAGATACAGCGTTGGCGTCTTGAATTAAGTAGTTACAACTTTGACATCATATATCGACCGGGAAGAGAAAATGTCGTGGCCTAAAATCAATGAATATAGTATTAAACTATTTATACATTTTATCTGTCAAATAGTCGTGTACAATTTTTAGTTTATTAAAGCCTAATAATGGGTAAATCTAGTTTTAATTAATAATTCAATACTATATTCATATCAATTTAATAAACTAAAAATTACTTATAATCTATAATGGATAAGTATCTAAGACCCGAAAGATTCGATGCAGATCCGTCAGCAAATATTGATCAATCTCCGCTATGGATACATTGGAAACAAACTTTTGAGAATTTTATTAGTGCTATAAATACTAAGGATAATCCTATTACTCCAGAGCAGCAATACCAAGTACTCGTCAATTACTTATCGCCGATTCTTTATGCACATATCAAAGAATGTAACAACTACACTACAGCGATTCTTAAATTAAATCAATTATTTACAAAACCTGTAAACGAAATCTATTCAAGACATCGTCTTATGAAGCGATATCAGCAATCCGGTGAGTCAGTTCATCAATATATACAAGCTCTTAAACTATTGTCGAAAGAATGTAACTTCCATAAAGTTACAGCAGAACAGAATGAAAGTGAATACATAAGAGACGCTTTCATAGGCGGACTGGTGTCACCTGTAATACGTCAAAGACTGTTAGAAAATAGTACTTTAACCCTAGATGCGGCCTTCCAGCAAGCTCAATCACTGGAGTTAGCAGAAATTCATAATCAGAATTATCTACGTGACACTAATCCTGTAATAAATAATACAAATAACTGTTCTAATATTCCAGTTTTAAAGGATTCTATGTCTGCTGACAATAAGAATACTGATGTCACCGTTGCTGCAACACCAAATTATAGAAATACGTTTGAGTCTTGTTACTTTTGTGGAGAAAAAAGACATCCACGAAGATTCTGTCCAGCAGCCAGTTCAACGTGTCTTTCATGTGGTAAGAGGGGTCATTTTGCTAAAGTCTGTCGAAATAAATCTCAACGCAACGCAGCTACCTCCAACGAAAATCAGTCAATCGAAACACTCTCCTGCATACTATCTGCTGCAGATTTAAGTAAAGCGACTGTTCCTATTATTATCAATAACAAAATTATGGCTAGAGCACTAATAGATACAGGCAGTACAGCTAGTTTTATTGACAAACGACTGGTTAACCACTATGATTTAATTGAAACACCATATCACCAAAAGATAACAATGGCCAAGTCAAACCTTATATCACATGTAAAAAGCAGATGTGCATTAACTATAGAAATACAAAAACAAAAGGTGGAAGTCAATCTTATGGTGATGGAAGGATTATGTTCTGATGTTATTCTCGGTCATGATATGTTAAGTGAACATAAATCATTAGAAATGCAATTTGGTGGTTTTAAACCCTCGCTTCAACTATGTACTCTTATAGAAGCCAAAATAAAACCTGTTAGCTTATTCAGTAATTTACTACCTTTCGAGAAACCTATTGCGATTCGATCTAGGAAACAGTCAGAGATGGATCAAAAATTTATAGATGAAGAGATACAAAAGTTATTAAAAGATAAAATAATTGAACCTAGTCAGTCTCCATGGCGAGCACAAGTCCTTGTTACTAGTAGTGAACACCATAAAAAACGTATGGTTATAGATTATTCACAAACAATAAATAGATTTACTTTATTAGATGCATATCCACTCCCTTCTATTGAAGATGTTATAGCTAAGGTATCTAAACATAAAATATTCAGTAAAATAGACCTTAAAAGCGCGTATCATCAAGTACCTATATTGGAAAGCGAAAAATCATATACTGCCTTCGAAGCAGGAGGAAATTTATATCAGTTTCGACGAATTCCGTTTGGTGTCACCAATGGAGTGGCCGCATTTCAACGTGCAATTAATAATATCATAAAATCAGAGCAATTAGAAGGAGTTTATGCTTATCTCGATGATAGCTAAGGTATCTAAACATAAAATATTCAGTAAAATAGACCTTAAAAGCGCGTATCATCAAGTACCTATATTGGAAAGCGAAAAATCATATACTGCCTTCGAAGCAGGAGGAAATTTATATCAGTTTCGACGAATTCCGTTTGGTGTCACCAATGGAGTGGCCGCATTTCAACGTGCAATTAATAATATCATAAAATCAGAGCAATTAGAAGGAGTTTATGCTTATCTCGATGATATCACGATTTGTGGGATAAATCAGACTGATCACGATGAAAAACTTAAAAAATTTGAAGAAATTTCTACAAAATATAATCTTACATTAAACGTGACAAAAAGTGAATTTTCAAAGACTACTATAAATCTTCTGGGATACAACATATGTAACGGAGTGATTAAACCTGATCCGGAACGTTTACGCCCTCTCCTAGAACTACCAATTCCTACTGATTCTGTTTCTTTGCGACGAGCACTAGGTATGTTTGCGCACTATGCTAAATGGATTCCTAAATTCTCATACAAAATACAACCATTTGTCAATCATAATACATTTCCGCTTACGGAGGACGCTATAAAAGCATTTGAAGATCTTAAAATAGAGATAGCTAAATCTACAGTAGCTGCTATTGAAAGCGGCATACAAATGACTGTAGAAACTGACGCTTCAGATTACGCTATTGCAGCTACGTTATCTCAAGAAGGTCGGCCAGTAGCTTTCTTTTCAAGAACACTTTCTGCTACCGAAAGGGGTCACCCTGCTATTGAAAAGGAGGCCTCGGCAATTGTAGAAAGTTTGAGAAAATGGAGACAATTACTAATAGGACGAACATTCAAACTGATTACAGATCAACGTTCTATATCATTCATGTTTAACCAGCAACATACATCAAAGATCAAAAATGAGAAGATACAGCGTTGGCGTCTTGAATTAAGTAGTTACAACTTTGACATCATATATCGACCGGGAAGAGAAAATGTCGTGGCCGACGCATTGTCACGAGCAAATACTGTCATAGCTTCGACATCGAGAAATTCATTAATGGATTTACATAACAGTCTTTGTCACCCGGGTATTACACGGATGGTACATTGGGTAAGAACTAAAAATTTGCCCTTTTCTGTTGAAGAAATCAAACGCATAAATACATTATGTCCCGTATGTGCTGAAATTAAACCTAGATTCATAAAATCTTCTGGGACTTTAATAAAGGCTACTACACCATTTGAGCGAATTTCAATGGACTTTAAGGGGCCTCTTCCAAGTAGAACTCAAAATAAGTATATTCTAACTGTAGTAGACGAATATTCTCGTTTCCCATTTGCCTTTCCATGTCCAGATTTAACAGCTGAAACCGTTAAAAGAAAATTAACTCAATTATTTGCAATCTTTGGAGTACCCACCTTTGTGCATTCTGATCGAGGAACATCCTTTGTCTCATCAGAATTAAAGGAATTTTTATGTAGCTTAGGAGTAGCTACAAGTTATTCATCACCTTATAATCCTCAAGGAAATGGCCAAACAGAGCGTTATAATGGGATTATTTGGAAAACTATTCAACTATCACTTATGTCTCTTAAGCTACCTATAAGTGCTTGGGAGTCAGTTATTACTCAGACATTACATTGCATTCGTTCATTATTATGCACCAGTACTGGGTGCACACCCCACGAGAGAATGTTTTCTCATCCACGAAGGTCATCCAATGGCCAATCAATGCC